TTCTTCTTCTTCCTTCTTCCTTCTTTCTTCTTTTTTGTTCTTCTTTTTCTTTCTCTTCCCCTTCTTCTTCTCTCTTTTCCTCCTCTTCCTCCTCTTCCTCCTTTCATTCCTCTGCCTTCATCAAAAATAAATAATAGTCGTGCAATAATATGACATTTAAAAAAAACTTTGTCACCTTTTAAATTTTCAACAGGAACCAACATCAACGATGCCCTTCTCCGGGCCATGTTTATTTTAAATGAAGCCAATACTTTGGGGATGCTGGATCCAAATTCTGTCTCCATGATAATATTGGTTTCGGATGGAGACCCAACTGTTGGTAAGACCTGGACATTCAAACTTTCATTTCCTGTCAGGGGGGAAAAAAACTAGGTTTTCAAGAAATGTGTGAGAAATTGTCATGGGGATAGCTTGTGTTATTCCTCCTCTTTTGCTCCTGAGTGATTCCAAGACAGGGTTGTCCAACCTTGGCAATGTTAAGACTTCTGGACTTCAACTCCCAGAATTCCTGAACCAGCATTGCTGTTGTCTGACCCTCCAAAATAATTCTGGAAGGTGCTCTGGGTTACACCAGATTCCGTTCCTTCGGGATAGTTAGACTCCAGTTTTTTGAGAAACCTGGCTGTAGAATTTCTGCAACTTCAGAAAAAAAGGATAGGCATCAGAAATTTACTTTTGAAAGACTCTTGTATGGGATATACAGGTAGTCCTCAACCATAATCCATTCACAATAAAAACAGAGTGAAAAAAATAGAGCAAGTTTGGAGTAGGGTTAAGTTACTTACTGCCTAGAAACCAGGCGACGGGGAGTTCTAGTCCTTAAGCATGAAAGCATTGCTGGCTGGAGAATTCTGGGAGTTGAAGTCCACAACAAGGCTTAACGTAGCTAAGGTTGGACACCCCTGCATGAAGAGGCCAATCCTGGAAGGACGTCCTCATTTTGGTCTTTTCTCTTCCTATCAGGAGAACTAAAGCTGCCAACGATTCAGAAAAATGTGAAAAAGCATAATCGGGATGACATTTCTTTGTTCTGTCTTGGAATCGGCTTTGATGTGGACTATGATTTTCTGAAGAGGTTGGCGACTGAAAACAACGGAGCCGCACAACGGATCTTTGGGAATCAAGAGACTTCTTCCCAAATGAAGGTGATTTTTCCATCATCCTTTGCAGAGTAAAGGAAGGGAGAAGGGAAGGAGAAATCCTAACCCAATGCGTTCTTCCAACTTTTGACAGACTTTTACCAACCATAAACATAAATCATGCTGTTTCTCAGTCCAAAATACCATTTATCTTTATCTTTATAATGGTATCTCCTCGTGATTGGCCCAAAGACCTAGCCAGCTTTCATGCTTAAGGTGGAACTGGAACTCACAGTCTCCTGGTGATTGGCCAAGCGTCACCCACTCTGCATTCATGCCTAAGGTAGGACTAGAATTCACAGTCTCCTGGTGATTGGCCAAGCGTCACCCACTCTGCATTCATGCCTAAGGTAGGACTAGAATTCACTGTCTCCTGGTGATTGGCCAAGCGTCACCCAGCTGGCTTTTGTGCTTAAGGTTGGACTAGAAATCAATGCCTCCTGATGACTGAGTCAAAGTCACCCATCTGGTTTTCATGTCTAAGGTGGGACTAGAACTTACCATCTCCTGGTTTCTACTTCAAACTTGCTCTACTTTTTTCACTCTTATTTTTATTGTGAATGGATTATTTATGATCCTTCGTAAATGGGATGTATCTGTGCCCTTCACACCTGTGCTCAACAGGGGATGTGTATCACACATCGGACACAAGTGTTTATCACACATCGGGCACAAAAGTAAACGTCTACCCCCTTTTCCCCCCTGAATTTGCAGAAATTCTACAACCAGGTTTCTACTCCACTTCTCAAAAAACTGGACTTCAACTATCCTAAAGGCTTGGTGTCTGATGTAACCCAGAGCGCCTTCCAACATTATTTTAAAGGGTCAGAGATTGTGGTGTCAGGAAAAGTTGACACTGAAAATGTACAGCATTTACAGAGCGTGGTGACAGCCACAGCGGTAAGTCCACACTGATAGTATAACCAAAAATGATGAGCTTGTGAAGAGGTGGCAAGTTGCTCAAACTTTTATAAAGAAATTGGAAGTTTTCTGAACTGAAGGAAAATTGTATGTAATATGAAGAATGGTTGCAGGGTTTGGGTTTGGCCGGTCTAGAGAAAAGAAGAACCAGGGGTGACATGATAGCAGTATTCCAATATTTGAGGGGCTGCCACAAAGAAGAGGGGGGTCAAATTATTCTCCAAAGTTCCACAAGGAAAGACAAGAAGTGACGGATGGAAACTAATCAAGGAGAGAAGCAACTTGGAATAACGGAGAAATTTCCTAATGGTGAGAACAATGAACCAGTGGAACAGTTTGCCTTCAGAAGTTGTGGGTGGTTCATCACTGGAGGTTTTAAAGAAGAGACTGTACAGCCACCTGTCTGAAATGTTATAGGGTTTCCTGATTAAGCAGGGGGCTGGACTAGAAGACCTCCAAGGTCCCATCTCTATTATGATTGATTGATTGATTGTACAGTATGTCCTTCTCCTGGTATTTTTCCTCTAGCTAAGAGAGCCCACCTAGGCGACAGAAAAAAGTTTGTCTTGTCTAATCATGAAATGTTAAGCAAGGTTAGAACTTGGATGAGAGAGTCCAGGAAAGCCTACGGAAGTTCAAGTTGTCCTCTACACTTCAAAGTTCAAATTTACAATGACACTGAAAAACTGACTTATGACCATTTTTCGCACTTATGACCGTTGCAGCATCCCCATGGTCACATGATCAAAATTCAGGCGCTTGGCCACTGGCATGTCTCTATGACGGTTGCAGGGTCCCAGGGTCATGAGACCCCCTTTTGTGACCTTCTGACAAACAAAGTCAATGGGGAAGCCAGATTCACTTAACAACTGTGAGATTCACTTAACAACAGCAGCAGGAAAGGTCGTAAAATGGGTCAAAACTCACTTAACAATTGTCTCGCATGACAACAGCAATGTTTGGGCTCAATTGTGATTGGTCAGTCGAGGACTACCTGTGACCATTTTAGTGGACTGTGAGAAGCCTGAAATATTGAAGTTGGCTTTGCTAAATGATGTCTCTTATTTCTCTGGTTTTCTTTTGTCAATCAGTCCAACACGCAGTTAATCTTGGACACTCTGGCAAATGTTGAAGGATTGGATGAGTTCCTGGACAAGGATAAGCACGCTGATCCCAAATTCACGGAAAAGTTGTGGGCCTACCTGACTGTCAACCAACTCATGGCGGAAAGGTGAGAAGGGAAGACGGGTTGGTTAGAAGGAACCTGGAAGAACATGTCTATGGAGATGGTCAGTCTTCCAGGTCGTGGTTGTCCCAAAGGTGCTTTTTTCAAGAGGCAACTGGACTTTCTGGTTTTTCTTTGAAGACGTTTCGCTTCTCATCCAAGAAGCTTCTTCAGCTCTGACTGGACGGTGGGGAATGGAAGGATTTATACTCCTTGCAGACAGCTGTTCATTTGCATCCTTTTAGAGGGTCATTGAGGCCACTTGGAGGTTTATCTGTGTCCAAATGGGTGTGGAGCCTTCTTGGAACTTGGAAAGAACTGTATTATAGACTGGAGATAGATGATGTGGTACCCCTCCCCTTCTGTTGAGAGAGGGCTGTTCAATTTATGTCAAAATTCTCCAGGGGACTTTAATGACTTGCCACTATCCAGTTAGAGCTGAAGAAGCTTCTTGGATGAGAAGCAAAACATCTTCAAAGAAAAACCACAAAGTCCAGTTGCCTCTTGAAAAAGCACCTTTGGGACTGGAGGAACATGGTTATTTTTAACCACTGCCTGAGTTTATACACTATCCTGATCCAGTTCACAAGCAAATACAAACTGTCCAAAACCTGGCTAGTATTAAACTCGGTTGGTTTTTTTACATGATTTACTAGGTTGTATAAACTTATCCCATCCCATAGTTTATAATTCAAGGTATCGCCTAATTAGATAGCACTCTTTAGCCAATCCTGTTGGTCCGTAAAAGGTAAGCAAGGTCAGATGTAGATGGAAGACCACAAGGAAATCCAAGGATTGGGAAATCAAAGTAATACCTTAGAAGAAGGCAGCGGAAACTTTGTGCCAAGCCAAGGAAGTGATAAGGATTGCCAGCTAGAACTCATCCTGAAGATGCAGAAACCCATCTGCCTGGATATGACGGGTGATGGCACAATCCTACAGCAGGTATTGTATTATTGCAGTCAGGGGATCAAGAAGAATTGTGAGAATAGAGGCTGGGGAAGAAATGGAAGAGAAAGTAAAGGGCAACAATCAAGAGATATAGACAGTCGTTGACTTACAACCACAGTTTTTGGTGGTGATGGTTTGTCCTCTGGGCTTTCTATTTAGCTTTCGAACTTTTCAGCCACCAATCTCTTCAGAAAATCATAGTCCACATCAAAGCTGATTCTGAGACAGAACAAAGAGATATCATCCTGGATATGCTTTTCCACATTTTTCTGAAACATTGGCAGCTTCAGTTCCCACATAGGAAGAGAAAAGATCAAACTAGGCATATCCTTTCACGATTGTCCTCTTACTGAAGGGGTAT